TGCCAATGATAACTGTTTACAAGTGCTAAACCTTCCACATAACGTTTGCTGTCCTTCTTTAGTAGTTACATTAAGGTCTTTAGCAACAAAATAAACTGGAGGACCAATTCGGAAATATTTGTCCAAATCGTTAAAATAATCTATTAAATATGAATCAGACGGAAGGGCTATTCTTTGATCTATAAAAGAAAAAAATATGAAAACAATCATGAAATTTAGTGAAAGGATACTAACTATAAATATCTAATACCTACCTAATCCCAATTCTATTTGAGGTACCAAACCTAAAGCGAACATAAATGCGCTGATAAAGAAAACAATAACAGCTATTCGGACTTTTTTGTTTAATATAAAAGGTGCGTAATATTTTCGCATCCATTTTTGCAATAACCCTTCTTTATCAATACGTCCAGGAGCTCTGATGTTAACGCAAGGAAAACAATCAATTCTATTTTCTTCTTGCCTTTTAGCATCCAAAGACAAGAATGCTACGAATACGGTCACCTGCAACGAAAAATCAACCCAAACAGCCAGTGCAGCATAAAGTGCAAAATTTCTTACTGCCGGCATAGTCACAATTCCTCCCAAACCGAATGCAATTGTTTCACTTAATGCACTCAACAAAATGCTGGGTCCCATACGCCCTAAAGTTTTCGCAATACGTTCTTCAACTGACTCTTCACCAAATGATTTCAGTGTGAGCCTTTCAAATTCGTGATTCAATATGAAAATATTGTCTACTCCAACCGCAAGTACAAGGAATGGGATTACTTCAGCTATAATCAAGGTAACTTTAATTCCAAGGATAGAAAAAATTCCTACGGATGTTGAAACTGATGCTAAAACTATAATAATTCCGCTAATACCGAGCAAAAATTTTGAATCAATAAATATGCGTGGAAGGGATGTAAAACTTCCTAAAGCAAATGACGCGTAAACAAACATGACCAAATACGATAATGCGATAGTGTAGATATCGGTATTTGTCGATTTGTTTAATTCTATTTCGAGAGAACTCTACAAAAGAAACGAAAATATTATTTTTTTCTCTTTTGTAAAGATCAGATATAAAACACGAGGCTTTACAATAATTGACCTACCTCAGTTGAGAAAGATATATCAAGTTGTGAAGTGTTTACTTTAGAATTTTCGTTGTGAATCAATTTATTTAAATATTCTCTCAGGGATTTTTCCCATTCTTGGGATGCATAGGTCTCACTTTTATTTAATGAATTGTTCAAAACATAAGTAAGAACAAAAGCTTTGGCGTTTGTGTATTCATCATTCTCAAAACCACCAAGAATCATGTCTGGTTTTAACGGTTGCTGGAAATCCGGTAAACAGAAGGTTGGCGCAGATGTACATGATATAAATTCGTCTCTCCAAGTTTCTTCTGAAAAATTATCTAAATCTGATTGCCAATATCCTGTTACAGATTGAACGATACATGCATCTCCATTCGGATGAAAACATAAATCTTGCAAAGTATGTGGAGATTTTATTTCTCGAATTTCGCGTTCAATAATAAACAAACTCTTTAAATTATTATAATTAACAACACTTTGACTAGTGTTTTTACTACTAATAAAAATTTGCTGAGTTCGATAAAATGGACCAAAATTTTGATCAAAGAATTCTTTTTGAATTGCAGAATCCGAATTCGGTGCAACCCAAAGCCTTACAGGATCAGTTTCCACTTCAAATTTTGAACATCCCAATGTCGCAAAACTCACTATTAGCGCAGCAACACCTATAGTTTGCCAAGGATATTTAGCGCATATATACCCTTGTTGGTAAAAATAATCTTGTAAAAGTGCATTAAGAGCGTAGCGTCGCGATGAACGTTCCGGATCTAATAAGGTGTCTTCGTCATCATCAGTAAGTGCGACACGTTCAAATCCTTCTCTGTCAAATTTTTGACTATTATAAAACCTATGGAAATATACAATTGCGCCAAATAATAGAATACTATAAGATATATATATTCCAAATGTCCAACAAGTCAATGAGCCGACATAACATGAAGCTTTCTCCTCTGGTGTTGGTTCTAATGAGGGACAGACAGATTGACAATCCACACATGAACACCGATAGTTTATATCAGTGTCATTGCATCGTTTCGGTGGATCGTTGTATGGTAACATAAT